TATTTTTTTTTTCAGTTTTTTTAACTTTTCACTTTTTTTTTTTTTTTTTTTTTTTTTAATCGATGACTGCGACTAAATATCAACTTGAGAGACTTCGATAGATCAGCAAAGATTTGAGATATCTATTTATAATGATTAACAAAAACGTCCATTCTAAAATGTATTTACCTATATTTACATTAATGCTAATATGATACTAATTTAATATGTTTAACAAAAAAGTAATCACAAAATGGTCTGCAAGTTAAAACATCATATCATCTTGAATATATTCGTACATATATATATATATATAACGAAATGCGCATGTGTATATATATATACATACGTATTCATTTGAAATGTTTTACACGATGACAAAATTGTCGCGTATAACCTAATATCACAATCAGCAGGAGAGAGAATAAAACAAGCAGAAAAATTTTGGTTCGAAATGACGGAATGGCACTTTCTGCGTGTGTATATATATGTGTGTGTTTTCTTCTCAACATATAAAAATACAATATTCTCGAAAAACCCTCTGTACACTATGAAATTTCTAATAACGTATTCTACCTTGTATCATATTTATTATCAAATAAGTAGTTCTACCTTGTCTCTAAAACTCTATAAACACATTCGAGTAATCTCTCGTTCTCTTAAAAAAAAAAAAAAAAAGAAAAAAGAAGAGGATCAATATCTAACATACAAATTTTCGATCACAGTGCCTGGCGATCTCTATAACGTGAGATCTATGCTTTTCTTTAGGTCCTACTGTCTTTGCATGTTGGTTTCAATAATAATATACATATATCTAGTTATATCATAAAGCTGGCCCAGAGTTGACCGTGGGCGCCAGCATTTGTCACGTTTCGATATACGCGAGAATCAGATAACACTTTCGCAGTGTTATACGTTAGCGCTAATGGAAACGGAGTGTACATCACTACATTTAAGGTATCACCGTTGTTGCTACCCGATACCTTGTTTCGTCTCTTAAGAAATGTGTAGTCGACGATCCCCACAAAATTCCTCCCTCCCACCCCGAAATAAATCCCATCCCCGCCCACCCACGCTTTTACTTTTGCGGCCAATGCTTATCTTTTGTCGTTCTCCTTTTTATTTTGACTCTCTATGATCTCTTTCTTTCACCAGCCTTTACTGGCTACCAAGATTAAAAGGCCCGGCATGCATCATTACTCTCTCCCCGAAAGCACGATGACATACCACGATGATACGGTAACGACAACGATGTTGATGAGAAGAGGCCGTGGTTTCACCCACCCGTCCCATCCGCCCATTGTTTCCCGCCCAACCCCATTCGGCCTGCTCCATTAAGCGGCCTTCTGGAAAGAAATTCAAAACCATAAAAATAATTTTATTTTATAAAAATAACACATTTGACTTTTAGATTCTCCGGATTTTTTAAATGGTACAGAAAAAAAAGTAGTAACGTTGTTTACGTTTTCAATAAAGTTGTTTGACTTACCGCTTTTAGGCGGAGCTGTTCAGACGCCGTACATGTTGTGGAGCCGCTCACTAAGCTGTGGCGGAAACTGATCAGAAAATCGCTTCCAATTTTCCTCACCCACTTGATTTTTGAATGTTAACAATATCTAAACATAAAGATAATAGGTGATAAAATTACGTTTTCCAAGAGACTGTTCAAGGTCGTCGAGATTTCGCCTTCTTTTCGCCTACCTTCTGAAACATCTCTTTCAAGTCCTCCTTTGGCGCTGACCAGGACGCTACGGCGTCGCAAAAGAAGATGAAGTCCGGGACGACACCAGCCGGATTGACAGTAATCATTTGACACATTCCCCGGAAGGCAGAATCCTTCTCTTCGTTATCCCTTATGCTTCGCAAAGAAGTGCACCTATTGATAAACATGCAATTTCATTAAATGTCGTTCGACTTCTCTATTCGAGCGGAAAATACTTCGATCAATGAAACACGTGGAGACTTTACGATATCGATTACATGATCGCAAAATTTATATATCTCATTAAATATTATAAAAATACATTAGTTTCGCCGCAATGATCGAAATATCTCTCTTTAGATTGCATAATATTTACATAGAGATGTATAATATGGCTCTGGCAAAAATCGAACAACTATAGCCATTTATTTTCATTCCCATATAAGTCACATATAAATAGATATTCTTTTTTAAAATAGCATTCGACGAGAGACGGAACGATTGGCTTATTGTGAGGCCAGTCCACAATGTAATGATCAGCACTCAAGAAATCATTTGTTCTGTAGATTACAGCAACAGCAATTGTTTACATATAAAATATGTATATAATTTCCAAAGCCATTAATCAAAACTGAAGTATTTTAATGGATATATTGATTTTGTAAATGTACTGATTGTAATAGAAAAAATGGACTCCGAAATCGCGAAATTTAAGAGCCTATATGTGTACATACAGCCTCTATATGTTTAGGATTTATTTATATAATATATTGTTTAATTATTGGGATATATATAAATATATATGACTGGCGTCATATTTCACTTACTGTCTTATTAAGGCTGGGTTTACATTTGACATTTACAATAACGGCACATTGTGACCGAACAAAGATCGACAAAAATCAAAATGCTAAATTACCAAAACATGCATTGCAGTTCAAATTTGTAGAAAAATACCTACACGATAATTCGCACATAATTCGATAATGTACACGATATTCGCGGATAACTTCTAGAGCGAATAAAGCAAGAGACTTGACGAATAACGGTGACAAATGTAAACCTATCCTGATCTTGAATTAAACAGGAGCCCATAACACACTTGCATGGTGGCAAAATAAAGATTAGAATTATTTTATATAACGAATTCAAATGTAAGATGTTACTGCGAATACTGTAAAAAACCATTATGCAAGAACTGAGCACACCTACAACTCTATTAAGAGCGTTGCGTGTACTTTGTGGTTTGTTGATACAGACATTTTACTCTAATTGAATGCGATGAATGAGAAAGGAAGACTCTCTTGTTTGCAGTTGTAGTAGTAGCTCATATTCTTGCAAAAGAGTTCTTAACAGCCCCTGATGCAATTACTCAGGAGAGAATCGGGAATATATAATAATGTATAATAATAAAGTGCTAATAAAAATAGAAGGTAATATAATTAATAGAATATAATATAATAAAGAAATTTACACACCACTGTCGGACAAACTGCTGTAACATGGGGGCGACGTCGTGGGGACACACATAACCTAGGCGACCGATCGTTATGGCTACGGTTTCATTTTCGGTTTCGGTAAGTAGACAAGTGAAGTGTAGTGAAGTGACCGGAAACACAAACAATAAGACAAACTGATAGCGAACCAACGATCAACTCAGAAGAAGAGAATTATATATGCTCTGCTTATGTAACTTTCAATAATTAATAATTCTCAATAATTCAGTTAATTAATAATCATAATCAAGTAACATTAATAATTAATCCAAGACAGTGAGAACACAGGTGAAACATATGAGATACCGACAATGAAACATAGGTAATACCGTGCTATTGTAGCTGCTGAAACAATAATCGAAATTAGATAGCAGCGTGCGAGCCCGTGTGAGATTTGTATAATAAAAACCGATGTACCGTAAATGATCTCGCTCTCTCTCTCTCTCTCTCTCTCTTTCTCTCTATCTCTTTCTCTCCCTCTCTCTACTACATGTAAGAAATATATGTTATTATACAAATAAGAGAATAAATAAGAGGAATACACAGAACAAAATTTGCATTATGATCTCTTAAAGGCCAATTTAAATAATTCAGTTGAAACATAATCTGGGGCTTAGAAAAATATGCAAGCATATAATAAATATATATACTGAATTGCAACATGTCTTTTCCATGGCAATACAGCCTTATATGTATGTTCAAGCCTACAGGCAGTCGCACACCACTAAATTAATATACAAATACTAATTATTTAAACCTGTTGATAAAACGTGCAATCGCGATTTATGTATATGACTATGTCAATTTGTTGAACTGTGTGGGATTCATTGTTGCTCAAAAAATTATTAAAAAAAGAAAAAAGAAATATATATATGTATATATGCACCTAGAGAGCTGAACGCCATCAGGA